CCTCTCATCCATCGTAGCTCCAATTCTCCCAGCTTGTTTGACTGATCCCTGGTCAGTGTCTTGCACGCTCCACCACTCTACCTCTCATGCCTTGCTCGATGTTTCTCCATCCTTTCACAAACGCAGGTATCTGGGAGGCAATCACCTTGAGGGCCCCATTCCTCCTACTCTGAGCCCTTTAACAGCATTGACAACATTGTACGGCTTGTCCCTTCTCCTGCTTCTTCATTTGATGATCGAGAGAGAGACATCTTTTACATTCCACCAAAAAAGGGCTGTTTATGTGCGTGTGCAGTGAAGAGTGAGTTGATCTTATGCAGCGATGCCACAGCATCACCCCATTTGAAGAGCCTGTTTTGAAGAACCCGTTGCATTGTTGTTGATGATTTGTGATTTGCTCCTTCCCCAGTTTGTCCTTTTTGCTTTTCATTCTTGTTTGTTGCGATCCTCTGTTCTGTTCACTTCTCTAGTTTCTGCTTCTCGTTTTTCTGTTGCCATATTTCCTTATTTGTTCCTCTCAGCTTTACCAGTTCTTGGTCTTCATCAGCAGAGACTTTCTCTTGCTCTGCTCGTTTCGTAACTTCAGAAATTTAGCCAGCAACAAGTTCACTGGAAATCTCTCTTTCGTTTCAACCCTCTCTACTAAGTTGGAGACCCTGTAATGCCCTTTCCCTGTTTCTCCTCTCACTTGCGTCTCTTTTCTGTTACAAAAAGGTGAGAATCCACATTCTGTACATGTAGTGAAGCGAATAACCCGCACATGAATTATCGATCCTGGATATGAAATTGTAATGCCATGTCCATATTCAGGCATGAGCAATACAATTACCCCCGGTTTGGTTCGTTTTTTCCAGAACGCGACCGTTTTCTTGGGCGGCTGGTTTGTTAGCAACAACCTGTTGCCAAAGTGAACCGGTTCGAATCTAGGGAAAACAACCAGAGGCTAGGAGCTCATATCGTGCTCCAACTCTCTCATAGTCGATTATGTCTTCTTCTACCTAACATTGGGGTGGTTCCCACAGTCCATTTTTAGGTTTCATCTAGTGGTAACTATTGTGCAAGGGCCCTGGCGAACCGAACCGGTTCTGATTGTTACGGAACCGACCCGGTTCGGTGGAACTGGTTCAGCCTTATATCACGAACTACAAACCAGTTCCGTTCGGTAACGAACCGGTTTAGTAATAAGGGTATAAAACCAAACCGGTTCAATCCGGTACCGAGCTCATGCATATGAAGATTTTTGTGATTGCACCATTCTGCATTCTCAGGCTTCCTACTCGTGTTTACCCCAGGACTCTCAACAACAATCAGTTCAGTGGCTCCATTCCTTCTGGCATTGGCACTCGCTTTCTCAATCTGAAATATTTGTGAGGCCCCTGCTTGGTTTTCTTTGCTTGGCACTCCTCCTCCTCCTCCTCGGTCTTTTTTTTCTTGCTCAATTTTATTTCTTGCCCTCAGCCATATGCCCTGCCTGTGGATGTTTACTACCCTACCCCACCACCCACACCTCCCTCTACTTGTACTCCTCATCTCACGTGCAGTGATGCCTCTCACAACTACCTCTCAGGCCCGATTACGGGTCTTCCATGGCACAAGATGGACCTTTCAAGCAACTACTTGACAGGTCCTCTGAATAGTTCAGCCTCCGTTAACAGCCATCTTGCCGTCAACTGTTTCACACAGCCGGAATGTCCCCGCACGCAGCAGAAAAACTGTTCCTCCACGCAGCGGCCTGCAGCAGAGTGCATGGCATCCTGTGGTGGCGCGAATGCTTGTGATGGCCGTGGCATCTGCTATCCAGACGGACCCAGCTTGGTGCCAACGTGCTTGTGTCAACCAAGATACCTGCGGGTTGGAAGGTTCAACTGATTTGAAGAAGGTAATTGTTGTATCATTGATGCTTGTGCAAAACATAAATGATCAGTTCTGTATTTTTCGTCGCCGTGCCAAATCACACTTCTTATGTGCCTTGCCTCCTCCATGTTAGTACCACGTTCTTTTCTTTGTTTGAAAGGCACTGCACATTGATTGGCTTAAGCCAATGCCTTTGCGTTGTTTACCAGGTGAGCAAAAAAGGGTTACAGAAACAGAAATACTGCACTCATTTTGCTCAGCCGTACAGTCGTCTTGTCTTACACGAACTGCCAGGTTTTCAGACCAAGGCAACACTAGCTGCTGCACTGCAACTTATGTTGCACAGACCTTATTTGTCTTCACCAGTGTAGCAGCTCTTTTTTTTTTTTTTCCAGCTTGGAAATGAGCATTGCTTTCTCCACCAATCCCACCCTTCCTTCTGCCTTCTGTCATCTGTTGAAACCATCCAGGTTGGGATCGTGGCCTCTTTGTCAGCAAGACTATTCTTCCCGTATTCAGCATTCTAACCAAGGGAACGCAGCGGCAGACAGCAGGGATGTTGATGGCAAGTCCAGTAAAACATTTTGCGTACCCAAAGCCTCAAAGCACGGCTTCCGATGCAGAGCTGGCTTTCAGTGTCAATTTCACATTCTGCCTCATTCCCCAGGATGGTTCTGGGGGGTCCAACGGCTTTGCATTTGTGATCGCGGCCAAGGGCAAGGTGGGCAAAGCTGATAGAGTAGGGTATGGTGGAATGGGAACGCGGAGTGTAGCCATTGAGTTTGACACGCTGCAGAATGCCAACCACAATGAACTGAAGGTTCAGCATGTGGGGCTCAACGTAAATGGCTCGGATAGTTCGTTGGTCGCAGTGGAGTCGCCATTCACTCTCACCGACGGTGAAATCTACACGGCATGGGTGGACTATGACCCTTGGAATTCTGGAACAATTCAAGTGTTTCTGGCCAGTTCCAGGGTGAAGCCAGAGAAGCCGCTGCTGCAGAGGGAGCTGTCACTGTGTGCGGTGCTGCAGCCTAGTGGGCAGCAGCCGGCATTCTTCTTTGGCATTGTGGCGTCCACCGCTGTGAAGCCCTTTCAGATGCATGGCATTGTCAAGTCCGCCATGCGAACAGGCGAGTTATTTGCTGAGTGGGGTGACGGTGAGGTGATGCTGCTGCTGCTGATGATGATGATGATGATGATGCGGCGGCGGCGGTGGCGGTGGCAGTGGTTGTGGTGGTGGTGATGGCACTACGGTGATGGTGGCTTTGAACATAGTTGTTTATCATGGTACTTCAATTGACAAACTTAAATGTACTCAACAAAAATCTCGCGGCTCAGCCCTTGACGAGCTCAAAGCTGTTTCTTTAACCAGCCGTGAATCTCATCTTTCATCTTGCTGGTGCTGTGGTTGCCTTTCTTTGTCTTCTCACAGAGATACTGCCTGCACCCAAGCCAGTCCAGACCACTCGAGGTGAACTCTCTCTGCCATGTGACACCCAGCATTTGAGATGATAAGTAGTAGTAGTAACGCCCATGATAGTTGAAAGCAAACTCGACAACACAGGTTCGTTTCTTTATGCATATGCCAGATTAGGCATGAGCTCGGGTCAAACCTGAACCAGTTTGACATGAACCGAGTCATCCCGGCATGTTAGTCAAACCAAACCTGAACCGTTTTGAATCAAACCTTTAGGGGACCTGACCGACAGGTTCTTGGCCTGATTGTGGTTATCAGGCCGAACGTGGTTCGACTCGAACTGTGGTTCAAGTCAGGTCGGTTCAAGTTTGAACGGACCCCTCGCTCCCCCCTTGTTTGCCCCTTGAGTGACAAGGAAATATAATTGATTAAACCGTGGAGAAAACGTACAGGCTGAAAGTTGAAGCTCTGAAATCAGACCCTGAAAGTAGGGGCCATATTCGTTTCTAGGGCCTGAAATAAGATCCTTGCGACTTGGACTGCATACACCCTGAAAATCCCTGTTAGGTTCAAGTCAGAATCAAAGTCGTGTCGAACAAAAACTGTTTGACATAACATGGCCTGCGCGGTTCGGACCGGTTCGAACGGCTTGATTTGGAACTGTTAGGGAGGTTCGTCATTGCCTTAGTGGTAACGGCTTGATTCGTTCGTGACGAACCCAAGGGGGTTTCGTCTACTTGTTCATGCCCACACCTAAGCACTGATGTGTGAGAGGTCCACTGGTGATCCCCGATTGATCCTAGGGAAGGGTTACAGGCTCGTTGTCCTGGGGGGTTATGGGCGCACTCACCCGCTACTTAACAAGCCCTTTTATCCCAATGGTCTAGTGGTTGGGATTCGGACATGTTATCAGAGCGAAGGTCTCGGGTTCAAATCCCAGTGTGTGCACTTCGGGCATCCCAGTGCGGGAGGGTGTCAGAGGTCCACTGATGATCCCCGATTGATCCTAGGGAAGGGTTACAGGCTCGTTGTCCTGGGGGGTTATGGGCGCACTCACCCGCTACTTAACAAGCCCTTTTATCCCAATGGTCTAGTGGTTGGGATTCTGACATGATGCTTGGCAAGGCAATGCTAGGAGCAGTGATGAAAGCGTCGCTACATGGAAACTACAGCCAGACCGGTGGTGCTGAATTCTGAGTAACTAGCAAAAGAATGTGAGAAGAACAAGGAAACCGGAATGGTCGGAAAAATAAGGTACGGCAGGCAAATGTCGGAGAACATTTATCTCAACCCAAATTGTCCACAGAGGGCTACCAAACACGGTTCGATGTGCAACATGACGCGAAATGCAACAGACTCATTACTCAAAATGCTTTTAACTGCACTACCCTTGTCAGAATGCTTTTAACCTGCCATTTCTGACAAATATTTTTAGGCCTTGTTTGGGTGAACCTTCAGCCTGGAAACCACATCACATGCTTGCGTTCTCCAGAGCCAGCTAGAGGCGAGGCGATCTCGATTTTCAGCAAACCAGTCCGGTTCGACTCAAACCGGAGGGCCAAAGTATCGGAGCCGATTTTGTTGACTGCTCTGCTCATGCTTATGCTGAATGTACAACAACACATGAATCTGCTCCGTTTATTCATTGTGCAAAGTTGCAAACTCTAGTGTAGTGGCTTGTGTTCAATGCGAGCTCCAAGTTTGATCTGTGCTTCATACGCGCGCCATGTGTACCTGTACCCATCACCCATGTTCTCTAGTTTACGTGTATTTCCTTGTCCACCCCTTCTCTCTCCTCACAGAACTTGGACTAATAGTATCAGAAAGCACTTTCGCACCACCTGGAGCGAACCCGTTCTCGCGCTACGTGGGCACGGACTACCAATGGACGGACAACGATGCGAGCGTGGACTCGTGGGCCATCCGTGACTTCCACTCCTGGATCTCCATGGCCTTCCTCAAGTGGCCTGTCAAGGATCAGCTGCTTTGTAGTGAGTGACAAGAGGATGGAAATCTGATGTGAAGTGTGTCAGTGGACCTTTCCAGATCGGAGGTCCTCCATTCTTCATGTTCACATGGTGCACACCGTACACGGTTATCACTTAGCGTAGTGTCAGGTTGCAATTTGCAACCTCATCCACTAATGTGGTCTTTGCTCGGGGCAGCAAGGTCCTCAAGTTGGGAAGGTTTTTTACCCTCGTTCGCTGTTCCCGTGTCTACTTCTCATATGGATGCTGCCCTTATTGATCTGCTCTACCCTCAGAGGCTAAGCACGATTCACTGTTCTCATGTTTAATTATTCTCAGGTGCATGCTGGGCGTATGCGGTGGTGGCGAGTGTGGAGGCTGCGTACGGCATCGCATTGAATCAAGCTGCTCCTCCGCTGTCAGTGGAGTCCCTCTTTGCAGCCATGGGGCTCACCGATGCAAACAAGTGCACCGCTGGAGGCTCCCCCACTGCGGCCTTTGAGAAGCTCGTCACTCTTGACGCCAGCAGTGGACTCACAGGAGACAGTGACCCGGTAGGGAAAACAGAACGAGGGCATCGTAAGTAAGGTGGGGTGGGTGGAGTCATGAAATGTTGCTAAAAACGGGTTCCATGGCGGCAAGCTGCTCTAAGAAAAAGAACTAGAGTGTAGCAGAGAAAAGCAAGCGGAAAATTCTAGTCTGTCATGAAAGGCGTATGCATGCGCACGTTCAAGACTCACCCCCTTTGCATTTTTTTTTGAAATGAAGGAATCCTTGCGTGTGATGGATGTCTAACTCGTGGATAGACTGGCCCTGCATTGAGCTGTCTCCTGCTGTAAAACAACTCTTGGTTCAATGGTTTCTGTTGGGCATAGAGTGACATGGACTTGGCATGGTCCTTGTACCCTTGCTTGCTTCATCCATTTGCTCTATTCATACATCTTGGAGCCCATTCTTGTGTTCCCAGGCAACACCATACCCGGTGGCAGCATTTGAGCGGGCACTCTTCAAGGGGTACTTCGGGCTCATGCTGGCAGTGCAGCGCCAGCCAGTGGTGGTTCACATCCAGGCTACAGCTGACACGTTCTTCCAGTATGATGGGGTGAGTCGCAGTGCCTGGCGGAATGATGGGGTGAGTTCTGCCAGTATGATGGGGTGAGTTCTGCCAGTATGATGGGGTGAGTTCTGCCAGTATGATGGGGTGAGTCGCTGTAGTTCTCATGCAGTATGGTGCCTCTCGGAATGATGCATTGTAGTGCACTCTTGTAGGATGGCACATATATTCATGTGCATGCTTCACAAGTAGACAAAGGCCAGCTTATCGGTGAACCGTGGGTTTTAGCTTCATAATGCATGGATGTATATCCTGTCCCCATTTTGGTTTCAGTCTTTCAAGTACCAGGACCCTGCGTGCTACACGGGCAGTCTGAACCATGTGGTGCTCGTCGTTGGCTACTTCATCAATCGAGACGACGGCAGCCAAAACCGTATTGCTCCTCCATTTTGGATCATCCGCAACTCGTGGGGAGTGGAGTGAGGCGACCAAGGCCATATGCGCATGGGCATTCAGGGAGGGGATGGCATGTGTGGCATCAACGTGCTACCTGGCATCTACCCCGTTGTCAAGAGTGAGGCATCTACGCCATTGTCACGAAAGAAGTATTTACCCCATTGTTGTCAAGAGTGAGGAATGCATGACACTCTCCCAAGAAAGCTAACACAAGCAGACAAGCTTACCCCACAAATAGTTTTGGGTTTAGAATAGTAGACAGTAGCAGAATAGTAGACAGTAGCATGTCCCATACAGAGGTGTTAAGAGAGAGGAAGAGAAACATGTTCTTCAGGTGAGAGGGGGACTCAGCAGGACATCCGACCAGTGAGCCGTCAGCTTGAGGCACCTTTGACAAGGTAAGTGATGGCTTGTCCACGCTGTAGTTCTACCGACCACCTCTGACAGAATTGTTGGACAGACCCTACCCTTCCCCTTAAGTTCCGGATGCCTGGCAAGTTTGGAAAGGCAGCAACACTTAAACTGGTACTTAGCTTCTATGTACCCTGGTAGTATGGCATGCATTGCAAATTTACTAACACATTGCTTCGTCATACAGTCGACAAACTTGGGTGTTGATGCATTCACCTTGTACCCTCTCTTTCACCTTTCAGTTCCAGGGGACCCATGCAGCAGCAATAGCCACAAGGGCGACCAGGATTCGTACGGCATGAACTCGTGTGGCCGGTTCCCATGCCAGATGACCAATGAAGGCCATACATGCAGCTGCGCTATTCCTCAAGTTTCTCAAAAAGCTCAACCTTTTGTTGAAGTTGACAACGGAGGTGGCTCCAAAACCTGTGCTTATGGTAAGACATTGCTGTGGGTTCCAGCCTTGCTGTGGGTTCTCTCTCTCTCTCTCTCTCTCTCTCTCTCTCTCTCTCTCTCTCTCTCTCTCTCTCTCTCTCTCTCTCTCAAGCAGTCATGTATTGATAGGGATCATAAGGTACAGGCAAGTAAGGCATCATGGGAAGCTAAGCTAAGCTAGACAAGCATGGCCGGAGATGTTAAGGCATCAGCATACGTGCTAGCAGAACAAGCAAGCAAGCAAGTGAGCAGATGGCAAGCATACAAGCACCCCAAAACCAGCCTGGGCCTAAGCCTGAGCCATGAGCACTGTCCCAGTGTAGCCTATACCCCCTCCACCATCCTCCAAGTCCCTCCCCTCCTGTGTGTTCCTCCCTACCCCTCGTCCCAGCCAACCGTAGTCTCCCCTCTGCCCCACTCCACCCCTGCACTGGTCTAAGCCGCCCTGGCGAGAGGCTCACGGTCTTCGTACTCGTCATAGGTCATTTGCCACAGGTCCCCTAGGCGTGGGGCCCAGGGGTCTGCTGCTGCTTGTGGGAAAGCCGCTTCCGCCGCGCGGTTAGACTTGGACAGAAGGGAGAAGGCTTGGCTGCGCTGCAGCATCACCGACCATCTCTGGCGGTAGTGCGCTGTGAGCCGGGCAGCAGTGGTGGTGAGTCTCCCCTGCCTAAATTTCTTCTTCGCCGCGTGGGTAGCCAACATCTGAAGGAACTGTAGGGTGTCAGCCGCCATCGCCCCGTAAGTCTCAACTGCAAGCCCAAAGAAACCAGCGTAGCTCGGCCGTCCCTCGTACAGCCTATGTTTCTTTTGAGATGCTTCCTCTGCCGCCCACCCTGGCGGCCTACGTGACCTCACATCCCTGTTCTGCAGCACTGGGTCTGTCACGGTGACGTCAGTCACCCAAGTCTCTCCTGATTCCTGATCCCGGATTGCAAGGTCCGCTCTCTTCCTAAGGATCGGAGGGGAGAAAGCCGACGTCTCATGAAAAGTCTTGAAACCAGCTTCATTCGCCATGCGTAGTGCAGCATATACCAGTGCATTGTGGGTCCGGACCGCGTCACCCCCGTCTTGACAGCGTAGAAGATGGTTTGGGAGGCTCTTGTCCAAGATTGCATGCAGTTCCATGCCCAGGCGGAGGATTAGGGCCAAGGAGAACTGACCAGGGGAGATAGTCAGGTCAGCCCTCGTTGGTACTGCATGGAGCCAGTCGCCTGCTCCTGCCCCTTTCAGGCTAATCAGCCTGATTGCATGGCCCCGGTGCCTGCCCGGTCGGTCTACTACGGTGTCGCCCAAGAGGTCTGCTGCCCGCTGCACGTTGATTTGCTTGGAGAGGCTCAACTGTAGGCTGCCTGTGCCTGTGTTATCCATTCGGTAGTGAGTGAGGACTGCTTTTGCTGGGGCTGGGAGACACTCTTCCAGGGCGGTCAAGGGGTTGAAATCTGGCAGGGGAGGGGACCATTCATGGGATAGCAGTGAGATGGCCCTGTGGAGCAGGCAGTCGGGGGGAAGGTCCAGGTGCTGCAGGAGGGTGTGTGCAGCCGTTATCGAGGCGATGTGGGCTGCAGGTGCCTCCGCTATAGGGTCAATGATCCCTAGGCCACCAAGCCGAATGGGTAGAGTCGCCTGGCGCCACAAGAAACTCTGTTCCAGCTCCGACGTCGGGATGCGCAGTTTCGCCACTGTAAGAGCTGTGCCTACCAGTGCCTCACTCCAATCCCTCCACTCCTCTAAGCCCAGGGCTGTCGCCGGTGTCGTCCGCAGCAAGTAAGAGATTCGGCGTGAGATGCTGCGGGAGAGGATCAGCAGGGCTGCCTGAGGGTGGAGCTGGTTGATGAGGTGTAGTGGTGACGCTGCCTCCTCCAGCGACGCTCTGACTTGGCTGGTACACTAGTCCGCGCTGCCGATAGGGCTACCTAGGACCCGGATCCCTTCCTTGCTGGCTACCAAACCCAGCGGCAGCTCGTCATTCCCACCCTCCTCTGATGCTACCCATGCCGAAGACTTGGTGATGTTGCACCGTAATCCGCACTCCGCGAGCTTGTTGGAGATTGTGGTGAAGGCCAAACTGGCCGCTTCGCGCGGGCCCATGACGTGGATGTCATCCGCGTAGGCAATCACCGCAACTTCCAGCATAGTCGTGGAAATACTAGGAAGGGTGGGTTGAATCGCAGCTACGAAAAGGAGTGGGCCGAGGGGGTCACCCTGCCTGACACCGCGAGAGCTCTGATTGCGATCGATGCCAAGGCGAGGGTCAACGAGCAGTCGTGAGGAACCGTCATATAAGTTGCGGACGAGGGGCAGGAGTTGACTCAAGCTGGACCACTGCAGTGCTTCCATGAAGGCTGGCTGTTCGACATTGTTGAAGGCGTTCTCCACATCCAGCTGTAGCGCAATCCGCTTCTCATCCTCTCTAAGTAGGGCGTGAACGGTGTGGATAATGCATTCCGCGCCCCCCGGCACTGCTACGCCGTACTGCACAGGTAACAAAAATCCCCGGGTCTCTTTGCCTAGGGTGTGAAGTGCTGCCTTAGCAACCACTTGCAGCAGCGCCTCCCCGATCGCAATTGGCCGAATGCCACCGTTCGGCTTCTCGAGGGCTATGAGGCGGGAGGGAAGGAGGAGATCCCGTACATGCTGTGGTTGGAAGGTGCTAAGTAGCAGATTGATAATTTTAGCGAGGAGTAGGAGTAACTCTTCGCTAGCCAGGGCAGGGTCTCGCAGGTGTTCGAAACAGGTCCCCGTAGGCCCCGCCTCGACTCCGTTTGGGAATTTCGCTAGAATTTCGCGAAGGGTGTCTACCGTAACAGCCAAGTCAGAGCTACTGATGCCTGTTACCCATGCTGGCGAATGCGTTCCGGCTACTGGGTGCTTCGCCTGGAGCGCTTCTAGAGTGGCGGGGGTTGGTTCTGCGAGCGGGCTTGTTCGTAGCGCCGAAACTGCCTTGGAGATGTTACCCTTCTTTAACAATCCTTCTGCTCTCGAACAAAGGCCCTCCTCGTCGGCTTGGTGGCGTAGCAGGGTGTCTCTGTCGGGGATGACCCCTGCTTTTTCAAAGAGCCCCCCCAAGGCGCCTCGTTGAAATTGATGCAGCCGAGCCTCGATGACTGCCCACCTGCTTCCTGTCACTGGTTCGGGCTCGGGTCTGAGGGTTAGCCTCGGGAGAAATTGCAGGATGATCCATCCACCCAGGCAGGTTGGATATTTCTGTAGGTGCAGGAGTGTGGCCAGCATGCATAGGCAGTATCGGTCGAGCAGCTGAGGTGGCAGCCGGCGGACCAGGAAGGGCTGGTCACCTCTCCTTAATGTATCTACGTTCCACCCTCCTGCCATTTGCCAGATGGAGTCATCCTCAGCCAGCTCAGACGGTGACGGGACGTGTGTATCCTCAGCTGCCTCCTCTACCCCTTCCACAGGATTCTCTGCTGCTTCCCCATTCGTCGCTCTCCTCTCGCCTGTGTGGTTGTTTCTCCCCGCTTCGTCCTCGTTCTCCAGCGAGATCTCTTCCGAGGTCTCCTCTTCCCCACCCATAAACCTCGGGTCTGCTTCCAGATTGTCAGGCTCACCCGGTTCCTCATTCGCTGGGGGACCTGCCCTTTCTGGTCTATTGTGGTGCTTCCGCCACGTGCCCGTTCGCAGCGGGATTTTGGTTCTGGGCAACGCGTTGCGCCCACCCCGTCCTCCCCTGAAGCCACCACGCGCATCCCCGCGCCCCCCACGCCCAGCACCGGTGCCACCTGCGGTTCCCACCGCGCTGCTTGTTACCCCGCGACCTGCCGGCATCCAAGGGGTGCGTCCGCCACGTGGCGGTCCCCAGGTGATCGTGCCTAGCCTCGCGGATCGACGAATCCCTTGCGTTCCCGGAACGCCTCCACCTGCTTCCGCTGATTCCGCAGGTCCCGGGGTCACAGGGGGCGGTCTCTCGCCTGGGTCTGCAGAGGTCCCAGTGGTTGCGGCTTGTACGACGACGGCAGGCGTTGTTGCGGCAGCCGGCAATGTCGAATGATGCCCTGGCTCTTGTGGCGGCTACGCTTGCCGAAGCCAGCCCAGAAGGGGTTCCGGGACGCCAGGTCCCAGCCCTGCTCCGGGCAGTCTCGGCGCTGGCTGGGCGCGAACCTTCCTCCTGCCTCTCCCGCGAGCGGCGCGCACAGCAACGCCGGTCCCGCGACCCGATGTATCTGCGCCCACGGCAGCAGCAGTCATTCCGGCGGACGCAGCGCCAGCCGTCACACCCCCCTCGGGCCTGCCTCCGTCCCGCCCCGTTGCCCCCCCCGCCACAGCCACCACAGCCGGTACCAGTGGCGCTGCCCTCGTCGCCTCCTCCGCTCATCCCTGCTCCGCCCCCCTCCCCCCCGCCTGTCCCTGTTGCACCGCAAGCCGCTGTGCTGCCGGGGCAGTGGCGGAGGGTGAAGCTAAGTTGTCGCCAGAGGCAGCGGCAGTCCCGACAGCAGAGCTCTGCACCGCCCCAGTCTCCACTGCCGCCTCCGGCCCAAGATGCTCCTCATTTCCAGATCCTGCAGCACCGTTGGAGCCTGTGGGAGGAATCCCTCCAGGTCGACCAAGCTCTTCGCGTCGAGCCGGCATGACGAGCAGCAAGGCGATCAGCGACTTCCTGCATACACCCCACGTAGACGACAGCGCCATCGCAGGTGGCGAGGGTGATGGAGAAGTACTCTTGGAAGAGGACACCGACAGAGCTAATCTCTCTCTCTCTCACACACACACACACACACACACACACACGCACACACACACGCCACACACGCACGCCCTCTCCCTCTATCTCCCTCTGTCTCTATCTTGCGCTCTCCCTTTCTCTTTCTTTGTCTTCTCAACCCACACTGGAGGGAATGTTGCATGGCATGATAACCCTTGCTATACCCTTGCCGTTTTCTCACATATCCTATCCTAATGCCTCGCTTGTTCCCATGTCCCTCGCTGCTTGATCTTCCCTGATGTCTCCAATACATGGAATATCCATCACCCCTAACCGTTGTGGCAGTGGACGTGTGTGGGTCGTACTTCAAGAACCCCTGCTACGTGGGCACGTGCATCAACGATCTCAAGGGCTCCTACTCCTGCATCTGCCCTCCCAACCACATCGAAAGAGTCACACTTTACGGCTTCCCCACCTGTGATCCAGGTGATGCTTCATTGCTCCAAGTTTCTGGCTCAAAAGAACAAACAAGAAACAAAAAACAGAGCCCTTCTTGAAATGGGACCTCTTCTCCCCAACCCAACGTTACTCCTCCTTCTTTCCGTCGTCTCTCTGTACCCAATGTTCTACAGCGAATTCCTCAGCTACCGACATGACAGTTACTGGAGACAACTGGCAGTGCTCAGATGTTTCTGCACTTGTTGGCCTTTCATTGGAAGGGTTCTATTCTAACAATGCGGTAAAGATTGGGCTCACGAGTGGTCAAGGTTTTGTTGGCCTCGCCTATCTGGTTCTAATGGTACTTCATTGACATATTGTTCTTTCATCTGAAACATTGCTGATGTTCTGCATTGGTGAGCTCAGGAATGTGAGTCAGATCGGACTCAAACCACTTTTTCATGCAAATGTTGTGTTCCACAATGCAGGAGTTAGATTGCAACCAGCCATTGCCCAAGGGCAGTGTCCTTCAGCTGGGTGGTACTCCTGAGATGCCTTGCATTGCCTTCTTCTACGCCCTCAAGGTGAGGGAAGGTGGTGCCCTCTTGATTTCTCCGTTGGGAGTAGTGGTCTTAATGAGCTAGCCTAGCTAACTTACATCCAATAGTATTCAGCAGCACGTGCACTCAACACGTGCTCTCTCCATTGTCCAACTTCCCAGGGCGACACCTGTTCATACATCAGCACCCAGCTCGGCTTGGGTGGGGACGATCTTGCCAAGCTCAACCCCGGCCTCGACTGTTCGCCCAATGGCATCAAGGCGGGCCAGTCAGTGTGCATCGAGCGCAGCAATGCTTTCGCCTACACTGTACCTGAGTGTCTGAGATACGACACGCTGACAACGGAAGACACGTGTGAGGTGCTTCTTCGAAGGACCAGCAAGGAGTCGGGTGGGGCTGTCAATGGAAGTAACTGGGCTGAGCTGTACCGCACCAATCCCGGCCTCACATGCTCCAGCGCCATCCCTAGCAACATAAAAGTGCAGGTAAGGGCTTAAAGGGCGTATAATTTTCTGGAGAAAACTGTGAAGCGAGTAAGTTAAGGAAAGGGTAGTGGAGGAGTGAGGGAGGGGAAGGGGCCATGAGGTTAGCAGGGTAGAGAAGTAAAAGTGGGGATGGGAAGGGAGGGAGAGATAGGAGTGCAAAGTGGTGGACAATGGTAATTCTTGGTACATTAGTTCTGTAATGTGCCACAAACCTTGGGACTTGGTGAATAGCAGTTTTGGCACTACTGTGTTTGCTAGCGGTCTCTTCCCTGTCAAGCTTTTTGAACAATTTTGCCCCGATTACCATTGCCTCTATTCTGCATTCTTGTCACAGCTAACTTCTCAAGTTTGGCTTTCATGTCTCCTGTTGTGCCAGGTTTGTCTGAGGGCAGAGTATTGGTCATTTACAGCAAGCGTCATTTGCAAAATGGGCAAATCCAAGAAGGTGAACATCAAAGATTCGTGTTCAAGATTTTTTGTTACAGGTCGGTTTACAAGTGATGCCCAGTTCGCAGAATATAATGGCAAGAGTTGCTCTGGTACTGTAGGTAGCAGGTCCATATGTGTACCCAGTTGAGTTGTAGCGCAATAGGGTCATCGGAGGTCTTCTGGTGCTTTTGATTTGATTGGTAGACGTCATTTAGAGGAAATTTCTGCTTTTGTTACCGTAATCACCCGGATATACCGGTACCAACCCCTGCGATTAAAGGCCCCCTGGTTTGCTTATGCGGCTGGGGGCAGCTTGTTTTGCCGGTTTCTGTTATCTTTCCCCCACCCCCCCTCCTCCTCCCCCTCTACCCCCTTGGGCAAAATCATTATATTATAAGGCGCTCCTTTTCTTACAGATCATTTTATACCGCGTCACCCCGATATAGGCGTAGGCCTATGATAAGTGCATGCGCTTATATCCAGCCCCCCTGGAACACCGTGACTTTTTATAGGCGTACCCTAGTTGGTTTGTTTTTATTTTTTAAGCTATTATTACAAAGTTGCTTCGCTACAAGTTTAAACCTACATCTTATGTTGCTATCCAGGGCACATCCAAACAGTTTAGCACTGATATTGCATTTCAGGGTACATGTCAGTTATCAATCTCGACTACAAAGTAGGGACCTCTATCTAGCTAACTAGCTGCCTATGCTAGTCGTTTCTTAGCCTACTCCGGTTCCTCGTTAATCGGGCTTCTTGTTAGACTCTGGCTCATCACAGTTGTTGCTCCAGAAGCCATTTGCAGCAAACTCGTCATCGACTTCCACTTCGTTTGGCAAGGTGTTCCTGGTGTGCGCCATGCAAAGATGGTCCCCTGACTCGTTGAGGGCATTGCTTATCCCGCAGGTGATGAATGTCCGTTGGATGAGGGCGGCGTGTACCACCTTCCAGGCCTTCGAAATCCACATGAGGATCAACTAAGGTGGTAGTTTGCGAACATTCCCTACACAAAGGAGTAGGGACGGTGGACCATGGAAGCAATTAGTGATATTGCAATAACTACCATGCTAATTCAAACAGGGTGCCACGCACTCACATGTCGCTGTCAGCAAACTAATGCCTTCTGACTCGAACCACACCCGGTACTGCTGGCGGATGTAAAAATACAATCCTACTTGTAGGCTATAGTGGGTTACTCAGTATGGGGTACAACCCCAATTAGGGTTAGCCTATACAAACCTGTACTGCCCTGCTTTCTACTCACTCACACAATTCTCTCGACACTTGTTCCTAGTCTATTCTAAGATGGTATTAGAGTAGGTAATTTTTCTCCCTCCCACGCTTCCGCTCCCTCCCTTAGCCGATCCCGAGGCGCCCGTCCCTTAGGCTCCGTTTCGTCACGGGTAGGACGGACCCCGCGGGCCTCGTTTTCGTCGCGTTCTGCCCAAATCGTGCCCCTAGGCTGGCCGTTTTTCATGCCCGAATCGCGCCCCTAGGCAGGCCGTTTTTCCAGCCCGAATCGCGCCCCTATGGAGGCCGTTTTTCTGCCCCGAATCGCGCCCCTAGGCTGGCCGTTTTTCCTGCTCGAATCGCGCCCCTAGGCAGGCCGTTTTTCCTGCCCAAATCGCGCCTCTAGGCAGGCCGTTTTTCCTGTCCGAATCGCGCCCATAGGCTGGCCATTTTTCCTGCCCGAATCACGCCCCTAGACTGGCCGTTTTTCCTGCCCAAATCGCGCCCCTAGGCAGGCCGTTTTTCCTACATGAATCGCGCCCCTAGGCAGGCCGTTTTTCCTGCCCGAATCGCGCCCCTAGGCAGGCCGTTTATTCCTACCTGAATCGCGCCCCTGCTGCTGCCGCTCCAGCCCCTGTTACTGCAGCTACAGCCCTACTGGTGCAACTACAGCCCTTGCTGCTGCAGCTACAGCCCCTGCTGCTGCCGCCCCAGCCCCTTCTACTGCAACTACAGCCCTGCTGGTGCAGCTACAGCCCTTGCTGCTGCCATTACAGCCCCTGCTGCTGCTGCTCCAGCCCCTGTTACTGCAGCTACAGCCCTGGTGGTGCAGCCACAGCCCTTGCTGCTGCTGCTACAGCCCTTGCTGCTGCCGCTACAGCCCCTGCTGCTGCCGCTCCAGCCCCTGTTACTGCAGCTACAGCCCTGCTGGTGCAGCTACAGCCCTTACTGCTGCTGCTACAGCCCTTGCTGCTGCCGCTACAGCCCTTGCTATTGCCGCTACAGCCCCTGCTGCTGCCGCCCCAGCCCCTTGTACTGCAGCTACAGCCCTGCTGCTGCAGCTACAGCCCTTGCTGCTGCTGCTACAGCCCTTGCTGCTGCCGCTACAGCCCTTGCTGCTGCCGCTACAGCCCTTGCTGCTGCTGCTACACCCCTTGCTGCTGCCGCTACAGCCCTTGCTGCTGCCGCTACAGCCCCTGCTGCTCCCGCCCCAGCCCCTTCTACTGCAGCTACAACCCTGCTGCTGCAGCTACAGCCCTGGCTGCTGCTGCTACAGCCCTTGCTGCTGCCGCTACAGCCCCTGCTGCTGCAGCCCCAGCCCCTTCTGCTGCAGCTACAGCCCTGCTGCTGCAGCTACAGCCCTTGCTGCTGCTGCTACAGCCCTGCTAGTGCAGCTACAGCCCTTGCTGCTGTCGCTACAGCCCTTGCTGCTGCCGCTAGAGCCCTTACTGCTGCCGCTAGAGCCCTTACTGCTGCCGATACAGCCCTTGCTGCTGCCGCCACAGCCCTTGCTGCTACTTACTGCAGCTGACGCTACTTACTGCTGCTGCTCCTTGCTAGACCTACTACTGACCGTCACTGCCTGTCATGGCCACCATCACGGCAGTTGCAGCAGCTAGGGGTGGACAGCGGCGGTCACTGCCTCTCCTGGACGACCCCACCCCTCAGCAGCTTCGCGAGTGGGTTCGTCAGCAAGCCCGTCCTGGTGGTGGGGGCGTTGGTTTTCTATGTACTGCGCAGAGGCGGCAGCAGAGTCAGCAAGAGACCTTCTCCACGCAGGTGCTTAG